GATTCTATGACTTGGCCCCTTAACTGGCCGTCATTTCCCTTCTGCACCATTCAGTGAGATTTCTGCCATGCAGTTTATTGCTCATGCAATCTTTATGCTTTAAAAGGCACCAAGCAGGGTTTGCCTAGCTGGTGTCCTGGCACAGCGTGATCCCGGCACGCACGTTTGAAGGGCCCTGTTTGTGGTTAGGTTACAAAGTTTCTATACAGATGTACCTTATCATTTTAATAAACACAGTGAAATTTTATTCCGCAGTCACTGCATGTAGTAGAGCACAGGTCGCCACTTTTTGCAGCACCAGTGGGGACTTGTAGACGTTCTACATTTATATTGTTAGCGTCCTGTCAGAGGATCTCCAGTCATTCTGTAGACTTTGCTGAATACTAACGTGTAGCCACTTCATGGGTGGGATGTGGCACCGCAGGAACTTCAGGTCATAGCAAGTTTAACTGGAATGCAAATCACCTTTTTTTACTGGGAATGCTTTTTTTAAAAAAAAAACCAACTGTATATATATATATATGTAATGTCCTACTATGAAGGTAATGCATTTTAGTAATTGTACAACCTAGACTTAAATCTCTTGATTGTTAGAAAATCCTGGCATGCATCCTCTTCAAAAAATGTAGTCGTCTGCCAACTTTATGAGCACCTAGCCCGTCTAGTACTGGATTTTTAGGAGCCCTCAGCCTTTGTCTGACTGATTAGCTCAGCAACAGCGCACTCATTTTTGCTAGCGAGAGAGAGCACGCTAAAAGATAAAGCTTCTGTTTTGCTTAAGAAGGCATCGGGAAATACGACCTATCTGTGATGTTACCTTGCCATGTTTATAATCTGACTCAAAGTGAAAAATGCTGAGCTCTCTGGAGACAGATTGGCATGGCGCAAGTGGCAGAAAGTAGTCAGCTTCCTTGCAGGAGGGTAATACAGCAGACGTGAATGCATTCTTGAAAATGCTGAGCAAATATTTGGGACAGTGTAAGGCTGAAAACGCAGCTTTGTAACACACATTAGTGCCTGCAGTTAATAAAAGTCGTTAGGTTATTTTATAACACCTGAACAGTAATTTTAGTCATAAAATCTCTTCCCAAAAAGATCTTTACATTCAAAGTGAAATCGCTTCACAGGCTGACCTAGCCACTACTATTTAATAAGCTTCTGGATTATTATTCTTTTTCAATGCTTATGTCCACGATTGAAGTCATGCTGTTTGCTTGCTCTGATTCGGCAAAAACAGCCATCAGCTGCTGCACAAAGGGCAGATAATATTGAAGTGTGGAAATTTTTTTACCTTTCTCAGAAACTGCTCCGAATCATAGCAGCTTCATCCTCACAGTTCTGAAAACATCTCAAATTGCGTCTTCCAGCCAGCATGTGGTTTTACATCTTCAGCCTCATTTTTTTCCATACAGCATAATCAATGTGTTCCTGGACACGTCGGAGCAGATTGGACCTGCGTGGTGCCCAAAACACACAGCACCACTTTGAAAGAGGAGAGTTCTGTGTCTCGGTTTCGCTCCAAACCGATGAGAAGGTTCAGCTCTGGAGGCCCTCAACAACATGAATTGCAGACATTGTCTGGAGACTGCAATTTGTCCATTCTTTCAGACAAAAGCAGCCATGGAAATGCTGTTGTTTAAGAGCTTAATTGCTTAGTTGGAGAAATCCATATGTAAGGTTAGGCAAATTATAAAAGGAAGTAAAATACGGGTTTGGGTTTGAATGGTTAGGACATTTTATGGCCAAGCAACACATACCATCATTTGGTCCGGAGTGTTTGTTTTTTTTAACCTTACAAAAATGTATCCATCTTCTGGCTATTTCACCTGGGCTTTTACCTGCTGTGCTGGAAAGAAAGAAATTTTTAAAAAATAAAGGAGTGAGAACCATAGCTCAGATAGGGGCATTTATCTCAAAACAGGGCAAGGGCAAGGGCTAAAGCTCAGAGGAGTGGGTTACCCTGAAGTTACGCAAACATGGTGCAGAGGGTTTGGTGCTGCCTGTTCCACAGATAAGCACAGTTTCTCAATTGTCTGACGTTTTTGACAGATATTTTGCAAGTGTGTGGAATAGGAATAAATCATATTTAAATGAGAAGGGACACATTTGTATTTGTTTTGTCCAGATGTAAGTAACAAAATACATAAGGTACTACAGAAAGAGAGACAAGCTTTTAAAAACCTCCTCTATTTTTAATGTAGAATTCAGCCTGGAATGGGGCAGAGACATAGTGAAGCATGAGTCTGTTAACACCTTTTCACCATATAAGTGTTTTTTCATTTTCCTTCCTATATTCAGTCTTTTATAAGTCTGACACAGAGAACCTCCTGAAAATCAAAAAATGGCAAGGCCATCTTTCCTTCAAGCTCTGAAAAATGTGCAGTAATAAGATCAGCTATTAGAAGGAGGGGATGTTTGAAGCCACATATCTAAACTAGCTGTAGGGAAGGTGTTTCAGGTTAAAAAAAGAAAGATGGACCTGGTCTTGGAAGACATTGTGCTCTGCAGTCATCTGCTCTGATGCTAATTTTCTTTTGAGTTACTGTCACTGATGTGCTTCTTATTATACCTAGGCCTGGATGAGGGATGCAGCGTTTAAAAAGGATGGAAGAAAAGGAATGCAGAAACCTGGTGTCTTGCATAAGCTGGCAGTTCTGACCTGCAGTATCTTTCTCCAGGGATGTTGGGCGTTTGAGGATGTCTGCACTACATGGCACAGATACTTAAAGGATCAGAGATTGTCTCCAAAATTTTTTTTTGCTGTCCCAAAAACATTTTGTTCACTGGGTGCAAAAGTTTGCCTATTTTCATTTTGCTGATGATAAAAATGTGGGAGACCAAGTCAGTTTATTTCTTTATGATGTGTGGTAGTTTGTATCTCTACCCTTTTCAACAGATATTTTGCTCCAGTTGTGTGTTTAATTAAAGTAAGTGCATCTTTTTGTAAACTTTTTTTAACTGATCACATCAATTTGCTGTGTAGGTGATTGGCCATCCCAAGTACCAAGGATCCAGAAGAATTGCCATCTTTCTGAGCATGCCAGATGAAATCCAGACAGAAGAAATCATTAAGGACATTTTTAAGCAAGGCAAGGAGTGTTTCATCCCACGTTACAAGCCTCACAGCAATCAGATGGATATGCTGAAGTTATCGTCAGCTGAAGACATTTCTTCTCTTACTCTGACGTCCTGGAATATTCTTCAGCCTAGTGATGATGACAGCGCAAGAGAGGAGGCTCTTGCTGGTGGTGAGTGTTTTCTTCCTGCGTTATGAGATGGCTGAGCAGGAGTAGCCTGGAGGCCAGTAGGAAATAATCTGATAGCAGGAGTGAAATGAAATGTTACGTTTTGGGTCTGTGCATTGTAGAGGTGCTTAAGTCGCGGTAAGCAGATGCTGTTTCCTCTTGCCTGTTTGTCTGTACCCTCTGCCATCCCTTTGGTAGGCCAGCAGGGCAGGAGCAGGACTGCACGGTTGATCCAGCTGAAGGAAATCCAGCCCTCCAGATGAATCAGCTGCTTGGTCGGTTCATGGACATCCTCAGGGCAGTGTCAGCAAGCATAACCTAGAGGCTCGTAAAGGAGACAGGGGCTTGCCCGGAGTGGCTTGGGCTACCATTGAAAGTCATGGGGGATTCACGGGTTTAATCTGCGCTCTGAGAACTGTAGTTTCCACTGCCTGAAAGGCAGGGAATTTTTCAGGTGATGCTTGTAGGCTGCCACAAGGATTTTCTGAAATTTTTCATCCTGCGCATTGTATTGCACAGATGAATGACAGCGCGGACAGGGAGCCTGCCCACACACAGCAGCCCTCCAGACTGCCACCGCAGCCTGAAAGTAAAAGGGCTTTCTGGTAGGCTTGGATGAATATTGCAAACTCCTTTCCATCATTATTCTCTCACATTCTAATTTTGATCTTATAATACCATCTTAGAACTGGATTCTTCATAAGGTTGAAAAGTTCGAAGTTCGTGTCGATCTAGCTAGTGGCATGCATGTTTTGTCCCCAGAATAACCTCTCTTTCTTAGCTTAAAATTCCCCAACTTCGGCAAAATTGTAAACAAACTTACTTTTTCTGTGTCTGCATCCATTATTTTCATTCATTTTGTAAACACATTAATATCTTCCTGAAACATCTGCAGAAACATTTAATATTATTAATGGAAAACTTAAAAAAATTGAATTCATGCTTGAAACCTCGGTCTGCAAAAATTCTCTCCAGGTGGAAATTCACCATGCAGACAGCTTCCACACCTCCCAGAGGTACCAGCTTTTAATGCTTAGTAAAGGAGCATAGCATTTGTGACTGGTTAAACCTGGGTTTGTATTTGCTTTGGGATGCCAATGTACTTTTCCAGAACTGTGTTTCTCTTTTATTTTGATCTCTACCTCTTTCTTAATTCAGAATCCTTTCTGTGTCCATGTTTTAGGTAGCAAGAGACTTCACTGCTTCATACAACCATCTCCTTTACATTTCATGTTCAGCACTGTTAGTTGTTTTCCTGGGTTTTTGCTTTTTTTTTTTTCCCAAAAATACTGCTTGTATTGATGGGATTTAGGGGCCCTTGAAGGTAACCGTTAAAATGTCCAGGGTTCTGTTGACTGAGCTTAGTTTTGGCACACAGGACAGGCTTTTGTACTACTGATGAACTGCTGTTAATTGAATTTAACAAGTCTGTTGCAGAGATCACAGTGTAAACACACAATTTTAGGTATGATGGGAGCAAGGACTACCAGGTGTAGAGTGCACTGGGATGTATCGGTTGGGGATGGCAGTGAGCAATGCCAAGAGAGCTACAACTGACAGTTACAACAACTGGTGTATGTCCATGTCAGGCTTGTTCTGCCTGAAGCTTGATTGTAGTCTGTGTGTACTGAGTAATTTAGGAATAATTCGGTTTGGATTGGAAGTAGGACCTTGGTCCTTTATCCTTGGACAGTTTTTGTGGGTTACAGAATAAATTTAGGTTTTCTTCACTGTTGCATAATCAGAACCCTCCCAGTTTGTCCCCACAGCAACACACACTGCATCTCTGTGTGTTTTTACATTCCTTTTGCTCTATTTTTTGTGTTAGTTATATTTTTTGAACTTTGGCATGTTTGCAGGAATGAAAAAACTACATCCAGCCTCCATTGTTGGAATTATGCATGGATGAAACCTTTATCTCTGTGATGTTATCAAATACTGTGGTGATCTGAGGCATTTACATTGTTACAAGGAGATAACATGGTGTTATATTAGTAATGTTCCCATTGCTGGGCTAAGTTGCTATGTAATTTCCAAGAAATACCCTGCAGGTACATAAATAAGTCATGTCATTTCTGAGTGTATTCATTTTGCATGACAAAAAGCTTAAGTTCACACTGTCCTTAAAACTTCAGGCATGGTTATTGTGAAGAACAGCTCAAATGTAAGACCAGGTATAATTTTTGTGGAGAGTTTCCCCATGTCTGGCAGTACTCCCAAGCTATGCTGGATAGACATGAACCTCTCCTTTTGGAGATGATCCTTCTTCTCTTGGATCAGGGTTTACCCATTTTCATCTTGGCAGTACACCACGTTATACCTTGTTGGCATAAACAAAGACACGCTGCAGTTTTGGTAGTAGAAAGTCTGTCATCTTCTCTGCCATACGTGGGCGACAGGAATTGTCATAGGAAAGGTGGATTTCTTCAGGCTAAATGGACACAGTAACAGAAAGAACAAAGGTGGAAGAAATTCAGATACTTTGTTTGGAGTAGGGGTGTACGTGTAGTGTAGGTGTGTTGGTTCATTTCCAGCTATACCCCCTGCAATATTTAGACAACTTTCGGGGCAGGCCAGTGGCACATTTTCTTAACGGGTACCAATTCCCATTTGTATCCTTGCCCATCAGCTGTGTAAAGGTACACTGGTGTAGGGTTTTGCCCAAGGTGAAAGTTCAGGCAGGTTGCAGTAGTTGTTTACAGCAGCATAGATACTTTGCGCAACTTTGGAAGGAGTAAATCAGATAAAACCATGCTCCCTGTTTGCTTTTTATCACGACTCCTACAGAAATTTAAAGGACATTTCCCCAGCAGCTCTAATTTCAATGTGGTTTAGGGAGGCGGTGTGATTCAGCGGGCTGGACATGGGTCTCCTCATTTGTCATGTTATTTATTATTACATAAACCTGCTCTGAGAGCTAGGGGTGAAAAGCTAAGTTATTCCCCTGAGAAATAGATTATTTTTACCGGAACTCAAAAAAATTGACTGGGTCGAGAATCTCCGTACGGTAAAGTACTTGGAGGTGGCTTCTCTTAAGGGAGGCGGGTGGCCAGCTTTGGGCTGAGGGATCTCAGCTGGAGGTCTTGGACCTGAGCAAATACTAGGCTTAAATATTCATAACTGAACTGAACTACTGACTAGTAGTTGAAGATGTACAATAAATTATGAACAGCTTTTAAAACATTCCCCTGAGTGATGGGGAGAGGTGTTTTGGCTTAGTTATTTTTCTTCGGCCAAAAAATGAAGAGTTACAAGAAATTGCGGCTCAGAATCTGCTTACTCTAATGGACTGTGGGGTGCTGCAAGAAACGGGACTATGGGTACAGACTTAATTCAGCCTCTTTATCTGTGTAAATGCTGCCCTGGTCTTTAAGTGCATTATTACATAGTCCAGATGCCATGATCTGGGCTCTTTCCAAGGTGGAGAAGATGAACACTGCTCGCTGTTAAGGAATGCTGCTGACAAGTATGCACTCCACCATTTGCTTTCTCTCTGTTCAAGTTAGACCTGCAGGCCTTTTTTACCGTGCATTATTCAAGCCTTGGTATGGAGATGGAGGTCTTCATTTCTTATCCATCACTACAGTGTTCAGTGACTCAAAGATGTTAACCGGTATTTGCTGATGGAGAAGCAGTGGAGGCTCAGGATCCTGGATCCAGCCTGGTCTGTGCAGAGGAGCAGCCCCCAGTGAATACAGACATGCTGACATCTTCTCTGTTCTCTCCAAAATGACAGTTTCACAAGCTTGTCTCGTCCTTGGGCTAGACCGCCTTTCCGAGCTTTGATTTCTCTGCCACCTCTCCATCCCTCTGGTCTTCACCCAACCTATCTGAAGCTCCCTCTACAGGTGTCCGTCTCTGGCCTTTCTGACCATGTTCCCCACTTCCTCCTGCTCTCAGTCCTAGCCTGTCATTTCAGGGGCAGCGGGGCCAACCTAAATAGCTTGCCCCCGCCAGAAGAGAGGAGGAGATCATGTGCTTTGTCTTCTTTCACTTGTCTGCCTCCAGACATACAAGATTCTCTGTCCCAATTTACTCATTTCCTTCCCCACTGTGCTGGCTTCTTTCTCTTTTTTATTGGCTCAGAAAAACTCCATCTCTGTTAAGTAGTACTTTTTGTACTAAACAGCAGAAAGAAGACATACTTTTGCGATTGCTTCTTTGGGCAGTGCCTACTGAAAGAAGCTGCTGCCTTGTCTCCTTCTCTTTATCCCCACCCCTCCACTCCTGTGCCAGCACAGATGCCCCTTGCAGCCGCGTTGGGAGCTAGACTGGGAGACCAGTCTTGGTTAGAGGTAACCCAGCACCAATAAGAGACTCTTCTTCGCCCAGACAGGGCCACCACAGAGATTTGGACTGATGCATCTGAAGGGCTGGTAGAAAGCTGGTGGATTGCGTAAACTGGTGGCATGTCCAAAAAAAGCCTCAGTGAAACTTCAGTCCTCATTTCCTTCCATGTTTCAGTTCCCAATCTTGCCCCAGGCAGCGGGACTGACAGGCAGTGCCAAAATGATAGTCCTTCTGGCTGCTCCCAGTTGGGAGAGGGCTGGCAGGAGGAGCAGTGCCTACAGCTCCATGTGCTGTCTGTGCAGCTGGAGATTTCCCTCCTGTTTTCAGTATGTGCCTGCCCTCCATGCTAAACCGGATCAGCGAGCTGTTCTGGACGGAGGGTATTTTCCTCCCCTCTTCCACCCTGCTTTGGTTGGGTTTTTTTAACCCAGAGGAGGGGATCCACTTTACGGTGTGGCCGTATCAGTGTAATGCTTGTGGGTGGGAACATCCCCTCAGAGATGGAGGGAATGCCCCCAGGGATGAAGGGAATGTCCCCTGTAAACTGGCACTGGCTCCTAGAGACCCATGGGGCCACCCGTACCGCCGTGATTCCAGCTGCAGCATGGAGAGGGTGGCATCTTCAGAGAGGCCCAGCGTTCGCCCTGACACGTCTTCCCTAAGCCTGTGCTGGCTTTCGAACATTCACAACGTTGTATAAGCCCAGCTCAAAT